AAAAAAAAGACAAAAATATTACCAATGAACCAAGACATCCTCATACTCAACGTCTCATCGCTAAAAAACCTCTCTCTCTACTACTTCTCTGCGTAATAGCATCTCTGACTCTACCATCTCTCTCTCTCTCTCTGGCAATAACTCAACACTCCTCAATCTCTCTTCGTCGTACTCTCTCTCTCTCTCTCCACTCTACAAAATACTTACCTCGTATCTAACTCTTACTCTACTACTTCTCTCATCTCTCTCTCTCTCTTCTCCTTCTCTCTCCTACTGTCTCTAACTCATACTCTCTACTCTCTCTCGTCTCTCTCTACATCTCTCTCTCAGAAACCAAAGGATATAGCCTCTGCTCTACTACGTCTACTCTCTCGTCGTCTCTCTACTTCTCTTCTCTTCTCTCTCCTCATCGATCTGACTCATCTCCTACTCTGCTCTAAACTCTCATCTCTCAATACGTGCTACTACTACTCATTTGTATACTCTCATCTTACTCTTCTCGTCTCTCATTATACCTCTCTCACTCTCCCCTCTTCTATACCTCTCTCTCTCTTCTCTTTCTCTCCTCTCTCTCTCTCTCTCTCTCTCTCTCTCTCTCTCTCTCTCTCTCTCTCTCTCTCTCTCTCTCTCTCTCTCTCTCTCTCATCCTCTCTCTCTCTCTCTCTCTCTCTCTCTCTCTCTCTCTCTCTCTCTCTCTCTCTCTCTCTTCCTCTCTCCTCTCTCTCTCTCTCTCTCTCTCTCTCTTCTCTCTCTCTCTCTCTCTCTCTCTCTCTCTCTCTCTCTCTCTCTCTCTCTCTCTCTCTCTCTCTCTCTCTCTCTCTCTCTCTCTCTTCTCTCTCTCTCTCTCTCTCTCTCTCTCTCTCTCTCTCTCTCTCCTCTCTCTTCTCTCTCTCTCTCTCTCTCTCTCTCTCTCTTCTCTCTCTCTCTCTCTCTCTCTCTCTCTCTCTTCTCTCTCTCTCTCTCTCTCTCTCTCTCTCTCTCTCTCTCTCTCTCTCTCTCTCCTCTCTCTCTCTCTCTTCTCTCTTTCTCTCTCTCTCTCTCTCTCTCTTCTCTCTCTCTCTCTCTTTATACCTCTCTCTCTCTCTCTCTTTATACCTCTCTCTCTCTCTCTCTTTATACCTCTCTCTCTCTCTCTTTATACCCCTCTCTCTCTCTCTCTCTCTCTCTCTCTCTCTCTCTCTCTCTCTCTCTCTCTCTCTCTCTCTCTCTCTCTCTCTCTCTCTCTCTCTCTCTCTCTCTCTCCTCTCTCTCTCCCTCCCTCTCTCTCTTCTCTCTCTCTCTCTCTCTCTCTCTCTCTCTCTCTCCTCTCTCTCTCTCCTCTCTCTCTCTCTCTCTCTCTCTCTCTCTCTCTCTCTCTCTCTCTCTCTCATACTCTCTCTCTCTCTCTCTCCCTCTACTCTCTCTTTATACCTCTTTTATCTCTCTCTCTCTCTCTCTCTCTCTCTCTCTCTCTCTCTCCTCTTCTCTCTCTCTCTCTCTCTCTCTCTCTCTCTCTCTCTCTCTCTCTCTCTCTCTCTTTTTGTCTTTCTCTCATGAAGGAGAAAATTTAGTGGCAGTTTTCACATTTGACTCATATATAATATGATAGCAGTTGTTATTACTTCTTTTTAGCCTTCCCTTTTCTCTTGAGATTTCTTTGTATTTTGCCACTTTTTTGCAGAAGTAAAACAACTCTTGCCTGTTCTTGCAATATGATTTTTGATGTATGAAAGACACTAAGAATAAAGAAGAATAAACAAAGAATTGCCAATTTCAAAGACTACTAATTTTTTTTTCACCTTCTTTGGAAAGTGCTAAAGTAAGTGAATTTCATTGGTTATTATCAGTAAAACATAGACATTAAAAGATAACAAGCAGGATTACATTGTCTTTCACCAGTTTATTTGCATTGACATTTTAAAATGAGTTTATGATTTTCCAGGAGTGTTTGAGTGCTGTTTTAGGTGTTTTGTGAATGAAATATTGAAAGATTTACCCTGTGAACCTGATTCATTTTGACAAGTGCAGAAATGGTGTGAATGAGAATGAATTTCTTAACAACACAAGTGATGTATTGAACCATTTTTGAATATGCCTTGGAAATATTTCTGATGAAGATGCATTCAAAACAGGTTAAATACATCTCTGGTATTGTGAAGATATTTATTCTCTTTCATATCTTTTTTAGATATACCCTGTATTTGATATTCTGTAATTCTCTTTCCTTACTCCCTTTGCCTCTCCCTCTCACCTTCACTCGCTCTCTCTCCTTCACTCGCTCCCTCTTCTTCCCTCTTCTGCCTCTCTCCTCTCCTTTTCCCTCTGCTTCCCTCCTCCTTTTTTCCCTTTTTTTTCTTCTCTCCTTTTCATCCCTCTCCTTGTCCCTGACCTTTTTCCTCTCCTGTTCCCCCTCCTTTCCCTCTGCCTCTCTCATTCCTTCTCCCTTTCCTTCCCCCTCTCTTCCTCTTCCCCTCTCCTTCCCCCCACCCTACTTCCCTCCATCACCCTCCCCCTTCACTCTCCCTCAGGTCTCGTGGTGCAGCCAAGAAGACAGCCCTGACTCTGCTGCTCCTTCTGTGAGTAATTGGGGACCAGCTCTGCCCAGGTGGTTTCAAGTGTCCTGTGCATGGCACTTTCAGAAATGTCAAGTCATGTGAATATATTTACTCATGTTTCTCTTTCTTTTTTTTCTCTCTTACTCTTTCTCTCTCCTCTCCCTCCCCCTCCCTCTCCCTCTCCCTCCAACCTTCTACCTCTCTCCTCCCTAAGACCTTGCTTCCTTCGTTGCCCTCTCTCCTTCATATCCCCTTGCTTCCTCTGTCTCCCTCTCTCCTCCCTACCTTCTTGCTTCCTCCATCACCCTCTCTCCTCTCCTTTCTTCTCTCGGTCACCCTCCCTCCCTCTTTATCTCCTCCCTCTTTCTCCCTACCACCCTCTTCTCTCTCCTCCCTTCCTCTCAACATATCCATCTGGTCCCTCTCCCATCCAGCCTGCAGCCGGAACCCTGATGGCCATTGTGAGCAAGCAGAAGTTTGATGGCTCGTGGGCTCTCGAGGACATGGCAGAGCTGTGCGGCATCGTGTGCACAGTGCTCAAGGAGAGGAGTCCAGCCAAGGTACGGAAAGTGAATGTGTTCTTTCCTTTGTTTTCTTTCCTCATGTTGGAGAGGAGTTGTGTCTTTTGCCATGTAAGAGGGAAGTAGTGCTTGCAAATCTAATGAGTCTACCATTAAAGGGAACAATCTCTATCTCTCTCCTTCATCCCTCCCACCCTCCTCCCTCCCTGTCTCTGCTCCTCCCCCACTCTCTCTTCCCACTCTCCCACACACATGCATATCTATTGGATAAGATTTTTTTCTTTTTTTTTCAAATGAGTTGCATGTATTGATGGAAATTGTTCCCTCACTGATCTTCCTGTGGTTGCCCGCAGACGGAGGCGGCATGGGCGACGGCCCTGGCGCTGGCCCTGTTGGAGGAGAAGCATGTGGCGGCGCAGGACCAGTGGAGTCTCCTGGCCGTGAAGGCGCGGGCCTTCCTCTCGGGCTGCCAGGAGGACGTGCAGGCGCTCGCTGAGGCCGCCCGTGCACTGCTGAAGGAGCGCCCTTAAGCCCAGTCTCCCCCTGTCCTCTCTCCTTCTTTCTCTTCCTCCCCCTCCACCCCACCCTCTGCTTTGGGAGGGGAGATAGGAGCAGATCCTCCCAGTTAGATACAGTACTTTTTTTACGGAGCATATTATGTTTTTTTTTCCTGATATTTAAGCTGAGGTCACCCCTCAGACTGTTCGAGGGCCGCCTCCCACTTTGGTTGCCTTATTGATACACTTCCTCGCAGGTTGACATGTCCAGCCTGTTTCTTAAAATCCTAAAGTGTACCAAGTTGATAGTCTTCAACAAATTTTCTAAGACATTGCAGACTACAGATCAGTTAGAGCCTGCAAAGAAAAGAAAAGGTTCTAGCCAAGAGTGTCAAGACCTGAATCTGGTTCCGGAAGCAGGCGAGGCAAGTGGAACCGCAGATTTATGTATTGATAGAGAGAGCCACAGTAGATTTCAGATAGTTGTTTTATAATTATTAAGAAAAAAAAATGAAAATAAAAAGCTTAATTATAAAAGAAGAAATCTGGATGAACCACCTTGAGTATTGTACTTACCTATTACTATTAAGGAAATTAATTATCTCTTTGAAGTGAATCAGTATTTTACTTCATGATTGTCATTTTATTGTTTGTTTCTGATAACATTTCTCAGGTGATGCTGACATCAGTATAATTTCAACATGCCAGCTCTTATTTGTGTATTTTGTGTGCAACAAAGACTTTGTTTTGCATTATCAGACACTGCACCCATAGCTTTGGGCTTCAGGGTAGCCAATTTTCATAAACAAATTGATTTTAAGTACTGAATAAAGGTCTGTCAGAGTAGTAAGTGTTTTTTTTTTCACCTAAATTCAAAGGGAATGTCTCTTTTCTTTCATTGCTATCTCAAGTCCATATTCTTTCAGCAATCCAGCTTTCAGGCTCTCCTTCTTGACTTAGCTTATCCAAGAGAAAAGACATTAAGGAGTTCCTATGCCTCAGGCAGCCTCACTCTAGGGACCACTAAGTGTCAACCCAGCCGTTAGTAACACTTCTTACACATACACATGCGTGCGCACACACACACATATATGTATATATACACGTGTGTGTGTGTGTGTGTGTATATATATATATATATATATATATATATATATATATATATATATATATATATATATATATATATATATATATATGTAATATATATATCATCATCATCATCATCATGGGGGCTGACGCCGACGGGGCGCATAGCCGCATCCACCCTTCGCTTCCACCTACGAGGATCCCTCATGGCTAGACGCCAGGCAGGGACTCGGCCCATCTCTAGTTCTTCACGGCAGGTTTGGTCGATCTGCCCAAGCCATGACTTCCTCGGTCGTCCCACAGGCCTCCTCCACCCAGGGTTGTCTCGAATAGAGACGACCTGATGGGCAGGATCATCCTGAGGAAAGCGAGCCAGGTGGCCGTATAGCCTGAGTTGGCGATCACGGATTGTGCAGATAACAGGGCTTGTGCCAGTCTCACGGTGCAACCGTTGGTTGGACACATGTCCCGCCAACAGTACCCCATGATCTGGCGCAAGGACCTATTGCAAAAGGCTTCAAGACGAGCCTCCAAGGCACAGGACAATGTCCAGGTTTCGCTACCGTATAGCAAAACTGGCATTATCAGGGCCTTGAAAACCCGAAGCTTGGTCCTTCTGCACAGGTACCGACATCTCCAAATACTCTTGTTGAGAGAGTTCATGACCCCTGCTGCCAGGCCAATCCGTCTGCTGACTTCATGGTCTGACAGCCCAGAGTTATGAACTACACTACCAAGGTATGTAAAGCTCTCTGTGACTTCAATGTCCTCGCCGCAAGCACGTACCGGCTGAACAGGTTCTCCTATCAAGTCCCCAAATTCCTGGACCTTGGTCTTGGTCCAGGAGACCTCTAGACCCAGGGGCTTTGCTTCATTGCTAAATGCATCGAGAGCCGCCACTAGGGTTTCCAAAGACTCAGATAGAATGGCAACGTCATCAGCAAAGTCAAGGTCTGTAACCTTGATATTGCCCAGCGTTGCCCCACAATGACTTTGAACAGTAGCTCTGCCCAGTATCCAGTCCATGCAAGTGTTGAAAAGAGTTGGTGCAAGGACACAGCCTTGCCTCACTCCTGAACTAACAGGAAAGAAGCTCGACAGGCCCCCACCACACTTTACAGCACTTTCAGTACCAGTATACAGGCTTGCTATTAGTCCAATAATCCTTGTTGGTATTCCTCTCAGCCTCAGGATCTCCCAAAGTGACTCCCGATGCACCGTATCGAACGCCTTCTTGAGGTCGATGTAGGCTGCAAGTAGCCCACGCCCGAATTCACGACGGCGCTCTACAATGACTCGAAGCGCGAGGATACGGTCTATTGTGGACTTACCAGGAGTGAATCCGGATTGCTCCAGTCTCTGGTGCCTCAGTAGATGGTCTCTGATACGTCTCAGAAGGATGTGGGCGAGAACCTTGCCTGGTACACTGAGCAGTGTGATGCCTCGGTGATTGCTGCAGTCCCAACGGTCCCCCTTCCCCTTCCTGAGAGGGATGACCACACCCCTCAACAGGTCAGGAGGAACGGAACGGACTGCCAGATGGCAGCCAGGACAGCATGTAACCCCCGTGCCATAGGTTCACCACCAGCCTTTAACAGTTCAGCTGGTATGCCGCAGATACCAGCTGCTTTACCACTCTTCAGCTTGGAAATCGCCCCCCTAACTTCAGTTAGGGAGGGAGGGTCCTCACTGATAGGTGGATCTGGCAGCGGGATCTCGACACTACCCGCATCCAAGTTAACTGTTGGTGGGTCAACCTGGTACAGCTGCTCAAAATACTCAGCCCAACGTCCCGCACCGCAACAGGATCTGAAACGATTTGACCACTTACTGAGCGAACTGCTGTCACCTGTGAAGAGGGCTTGGAGTTCAGCTTTCTCAGGGCTTGGTATGCAGGACGAAGGTCATTTACTAAGAAATGGCCTTCTACCTCCTCTGCAAGACTCCTAATAAACTGTTCCTTGTCCCTTCTTAACAGGGACCGAGTTCTGCGCACATGAGAACGGTGCAATTCCCGATCCCCTGTCAGACGAGCCGCACGACATGCATCTGTGGCTTCCAGTGTCTCCCGCGAGATGGAATTCTGTACTGCTCTCGGGCGTACACCAATCTTATCTTGAGCTGCATCAAGCGTTTCACGCTTAAAGGTATCCCACAGAAGAACAGGGTCTGTCAGACTGCCAAGCATTGCGAAACGATCAGAGATTGCCTCAGCAAACCCGCGGGCACACTCCCCCTCCCTCAGCCTGTCCAAATGAAACACCCTAGGGTGATCATTTAACCGCTGGGGGGTTTTGAAGTGGACTCGGAGGGTAGCCACAACCAATCTATGGTCAGTACCACAGAACTCAGCACTCCTGTACACCCTGCAATTTTGAAGGATCCTCCAACGAGTGCTAACAAGTATGTGGTCGATCTCCTTGGCTGCGTTACCCGCATCACTGTACCATGTCCAGCGATGAGGGTCTGGGCGCTGGTACCAGGAGCCAGAAATCCTCAATTTCTGGGACCTAGCAAAGTCCCGGAAAAGGAGGCTATTCTCGCCACCGGCATCAGCTCCTGAACCATGGGGACCGACAGACATCTCATAGCCAGCTCGATCACAGCCAGATACCGCATTGAAGTCGCCCAGAACAATGCGAATATCTCGTCGGGGACATCTGTCTGCCACAGATGTAAGTTTGGCGTAGAACATCTCTTTCACGTCAAGTTTACAAACATCGGTAGGAGCGTACACAGCAATAAGAGACATGAAGCCAAATGAAAGCTTCAATCTCAATACCATTATACGCTCATCAACAGGAGTAACCTCTACTACCGAGGGCTGGAGTCTGCTGGAGACGGCAATGGCTACTCCCTGGAGATGGGCCATCGCTGCGGCCCGACCAGTAATAGGTGTAGCCACCTACACAGGTCGTGCCGCTGCCAGGCCTCCTCACCTCCGAGAGAGCAGCCACCTCAACTCTCAGCCTCCCCAGTTCCCTCGACAGTAGAGGCAACCGATCATCCTGACGCAAAGAACGGACGTTCCAAGCCCCCACCCTGACTTCCCGCCTGAGGTTCAGCCCTGGCAGTCGCTCCGGGGGATGCCACCTCTGCCACCCCCACCGACGTTGCCCCATATAAAAGGGGGTGGCGGGCTGCGTGCCCATCATCCCCTGTGGGGTTCCCGAGGGCTTTCCCCACAAGCTTCACTCTGGGCTGGCGGCCACCAGAGCGCAGGCGAGACGGGTAGTCCCGTTCCCAGCCTGCGCTCCAGCAGTCGCCCTCCCAGGGGCCCACAGTCCGCCTCACTTGCTGGGTGGGAGGGACTTTTCCCCTCCTCCCAGCCTTTCCGTTTATACTAAGCACTGCGATTGGTTTATCTGGGGGGAGGAGGACTGGCAAGGCCCACCTCCCCCGAGCCTCCATTAACCCCAGGGGGCTAGGGGGCAGGAGTTGGTACAGGGCCAGGGCGTGTCCACACGCCGGTGGGCCATGGCCCTGAACCTCTGGGGCCTCCTGCTGCTCCGAGATCCCCCTCAGTTTAGCCTGGAACGCAAGGTACCCAGTTTCCATGGGTGGCCACAAGGAGGCACTGCAGGGAGTCTCGATGATGGAGAGGCTATGCACTGGCAGGGGGAGGCTTATGCAGAGCTGCTCCCTTTTTCGCACGAGGCTAGCCAGCGGTGGCAGCTGTAAGCATATATATATATGTATATATATATAATATATATATATATATATATATATATATATATGTATATATATATACATATATATATATATATATATATATATATATATATATATATATATATATATATTATATATATATATATATATAATATATATTATATATATATATATATATATATATATATATATATATATATATATATATATATATATATATATATATATATATATATATAATATATATATATATATATATATATATATATATATATATATATATATATTATATATATATATATATATATATATATATATATATATATATATATATATATATATATATATATATATATATATATATATATATATATATATAATATACATATATATATATATATATATATATATATATATATATATATATATATATATATATATATATATATATATATATATATATATATATATATATATGTTACCAAGCCCCTATTTAGGGGTTGTTATACTACTTTTAGTATGTCACTGGATAATAGATTTATATTCCACTCTCTCAGGAGCGGGCTCAGTGTTATGGATATAATACTTCCTAGTTTTTCATATGACAATTATATCTCAGTATAATTTCAATTGGTTATAATAAACACAACGTGAATTTACACTTTTAATGTAGTTACTTACGTATACAGTTTTGGTTATGCTCGTCTCCTGACAAGCTGATAATTCCCCTTGGAATACGGAATTCAGTAATTATAACCAAAAAGCTAAATTCGCTTTGGATTAACCGTCACGTCACTGAACTGGGGCGTGAGTGCCACACAGGCGCCCTGGCCTCTCCTGACCCTGCTGACCCAGCGCTGAGCGCAGTGGTGCCCTTGTTTACAAGACCTGTAGATTATCACCTCTATGTTCCCGAGACACAGTGTCTATAATGCCTTGTAAAACATTAAAGGCCTATCCCCTCCATGGGATCAACACCACACTCTGTAGCTTCAATGGAATGTGGAGCTCCCTTGAACTACCATTCCATCTACCATACAACCAGTGGAAAGCCATTTCCATGGTGTATAATGGTCTCTTTTG